CTCGGGCACTAAACATAGAAAATTAACGAGAGCGGCTGCGGAGAAGACCTCCGAAAACACGACCCGCCAGAAAAGCAGTCACGACGATGGGCGACCCAAAAATCAATTGGGGCAGCCCCGGCAACTGGCACGGCGAACAACGCAACTCAAGGAATCCCGGACAAGCCGGGCCGCCACCAACAATCACCCCGTACCAATACCGTGCCCCGGCGGGGTTCGGACACGCCATGGCTCCTCCTCATTATCACGGCCGCCCCGCCCAAGGTCATTCTGCCCTCCCCAAAGCCACTCGTTATCAATCACATCATGCTTCCCATCATCGCCCCCCTTGCCTCACCATCCTCCCCCTCGTCAGCCGCAGCATCCACGTTCTCATCCTCCTGCCCCCGATCCTCCCCGCCCTCCCCGCCCCCCCCTCCTCCTCCTCCTCCTCCTCCTCCCCCCCCTCCTCCTCCTCCCCCTCATATTCCCCATCTTGTTCCTACCTTTTCCCCCTCATCCCCCCTTCATCCGCCCCTCATCCTCCGCCCGATCCTCCGGGTCCTCTTGGTCCTCCTCCTCCTACTCCTCTCTCCTGTTCCTCCTTCCTCCTGGCCCTCCGTTTCCTCGACCTGGCTCTCCTCCTCCTCCTCCTCTTCTTCCTCCTCCACATCCTCCTCCCGGCTCTCCTCATCCACCTCCTCCTCCTCCTCCTCTCCCATTCCTCTTCCTCCTCCTCCTCCTCCCCCACATTCTCCTCCACCTCCTCCTCCTCCTACCTTCAATCCCTGACCTTCCATGCTTCCGAAAACAGTTTGAAGTAGGTTTGAAATAGGTTTGAAGTAGGTTTGAAGTAGGTTCGAAGTAGGTTTGAAGTAGGTTTGAAGTAGGTTTGAAGTAGGTTTGAAGTAGGTTTGAAGTAGGTTTGAAGTAGGTTTGAAACCTACTTTGAGGCCTCCGAAACCTACTTTGAGGCTCCTAAAACCTATTTTGAAGCCTCCGAAACCTACTTTGCGCTACCGAAAACCTACTTTTGGAATCCGGAAACCTTCTTTGGAACCTACTTTGCAAAAACAAATTCTGCAAACCTACTTTCCGACCTACTTTGGGGGCGCGGTTCCTTGAAACATCAGCACACGCTTGCCCGAGCCTTTCCCAGAAGTCGCCCCCGGGGGCGGCGCGCCAAAAAAGGAATCTGCGAAGTACCCCCAGAAGGTGAGCAAACCCAAAACACTTGTAGGTTGCCCCCGACAGGCGGGAGCCCCCCAAAGGGGGCGGTCTCCCCCCCCCCCCGAGGGTCGAGGATCGAGCGCGATTTCGCTGTCGGGCGACAAGCGAACGTACCGCGACAGGACAGGGCCTTTTGGCAGCCCCCCCGCTGGCGGGCAGGGGGCCGCCGCCTGGCGCCCTAGGTTCTTCAGAAACCAAACCTGATGCGGCCGCCCCCCGCCCCCCGGGGCCCCTCCGGGCCCGGCCCGACGGAGGCGCCACTCCCCTTCCGTTTCTCTTTCCTCCTCCCACCTCTCTCCACCTCCTCTCCTCTTCCACGCGCCCTCATTATTCCAGCCTCCCTCCACCTCCTCCCCCCGGAAACGCCACCTCCCCCCTACCCGCCTTCTGGAGCCCCCCACCCTCCCGTTTCTGACCTTCTTAACCTTCCTGGTCCTCCCTCTCGCCCCCCCCCCCTCCCCCTTGCTCGGGCCCGCGGCCCTCGCCCCGCCCTCCATGCCCCACTTCCCGCTGTGGTCAGACCAAGGGGGAAACGCAATGCCCCCAGATCTCAGGACGGAGGTGGTTTAGAGCGCTTCCTGTTCCAACAACCCCCAGTCTTCCCTTCGGGGATGGATGCGCCCCTCCCCCCCCCTCCTTCCGGGGCCTGCAATGGGGGGCGGCGGATCGGTGGAGCGCCCGGGACGGTCAAAGATAGAGCCGGCATGACCTCGCAGAATGCAACGCGGTCTCACAGATGGTTCAAGATAGCCCAAGATGGATCAACATTGTTTCCCGCATGCTCCAAGAAACCCAAATGCCGCTCCGAGACCGCCCCAAGCGGCCGCGGAGCCACCCAATAACACCCCCGAGAAGCCGAAATCTTTCCAAATCGTACGAGACACGAATGAATTGGGCCTTTTGGTCCATGCGCTTCCGAAGACTTTGGAAGCCTGAAGATAAGCCCCGAAGGAGTCCAGAAGAACCCAAGACAGCGCACTTCACGAATTACTCGGCTGGCTTGCTAGCAGAAGCCGCGCCTTGCCGGCGGCATTCCAGCATTTCCCCGAGAAGCTTGTTTGGAAAATATCATTACTGACCCGATCCCGACAAGTTACTTTTGATATTGTGTTCCCGACAACCTTTCCTGGAAAGCTACTTTTGCACATGAATGTCGCATTCCTTTCCCCTGAAAGTTTCTCGCGGCAATCGGTTTCGCCATCCTTTCCCTTCGAGTTACCTGCGCCGACCACTGTTGCCAGGCGCGCTGCAGACCTACTTCGCCGACCTACTTCAGGAGCTACTCTAAACCTACTTCATTTGTTTTGCGCCTCAAGCAAGCCCTGCATTCAAAGGGAAGTCTCGGTCGATGAGGCACTGCGCGCCTGGTGGGCACGGCGCGGGAACGCCCATACGGAAACGCACGGCTTCGACCCACTCTCTGTCCGCTACAGCGACGCCCGAGAGGAAGAGTGCGGCAGTGAGCGCCGTGCGCTCGGTCGGCCCCGCCACGCCGGGAAGGCGCGGCCGAATACTGCAAGCACTTGCGGGGCAAATGCTGCTCTGGGGCCTCTGGGCGGAAGGGGTCCCTCGCTCGCGCTCTCTGCCGGGTCCGTGGATGGGCAGCCGCGCCAAGCGAGGGCGGTGACACCAATCCCGCAACGCCATCGTGAACGCCGTCGTACTGCTTGATGTCGCGGGCGCACGCTGCCGCCTCGTCGCCTCCAGCGGCCCGGACAGGATTCCCGCACGGAGCGCGGAGCCGTGCTCAACGAGCCGCGCCGCCCGTGCCAATGGGACGACTCGCGAGGCCCCGCGCCGCCTGTGCCCATGGGACGATTCGCGAGGGCATGTCCACCTGCAGGCCCGCGTACTCGCTTGGCAGACCGATCTGCTGGAACTCCGCCTCGGTGAGCTTTTCTGGGCGCAAGTCGATCGATGCTGCGACGACGCGCACAGCGCTCTCACCTAGGACACGGGCGTGGGGCAGCAGAGCGCTGCACGGCACGACTCCCGCATCATGGCCAAACGCATCAACGACGATGCCACGGCACAGGGCGAAACCAGCCTGCTCAGCGCCAGCCAAGGGTACCAGACGCATCATCTTGAGCGAGACGGCGGCCATTGAGCAGGGACCGACAGTCCCGGCATTCCTCTAGGACTACCACGACATGCTCTCAGAACCTAGACATGCTCTAAGAACAAAACCAGTGCTTTTAGAACATCAGCCCGATAGTTCAAATCCAGCCAGTCTCAGCCAGGAATGTTCCAAGAACGTCTCGTGCAAACCACAAGAGGTTCTTAGAACAACATTCTTTGGTGGGCCTCTGGGCTCTAGGCATCCCAGGGCGCTCCGAGACTGCTCGAGGCCAGGCAGATCGCTCGTTCCAGGCCGTGCCGAGCCTGCCTCGGCACGCCGGCGGCGTGCAAGCCTGGTCGCTGCGCGCTGCCGTGCCGAGCAGGCTCTGCCCCTCGGGGTGGCAGGGAGAGGCTCGCCGCGCGAAGGCCCGCGCGCCGCGCGGCGGCGTGCCTCCCGGCGGGGCGCCGGCCGGCGCGGGCGCGTGGCACGCGCACGTCGCGAGCTGCAGCGGGAGGTTGTGGGCCGCCGCGGTCGCCTGCACTGATGGGCCCGTGTTCCACCACCACCACCATGATCTGGAGGGGGAAGGAGGTGGAGGACGAGGAGGAGGAGGACGAAGTTGAGGAGGAGGAGGAGGAGGAGGAGGAGGAGGAAAAGGAGGACCCCCTCCCCCTCAAACCTATGGTGCTGTTGGTGGAGAACAGGCCCATCATGCACGGCGATGGGGAGCGCTGCGCTGCGACGGCCAGCGGCGCGTGCACCAATCGCTCGTCCGCGTGCAGCTCTCGAGCCCGCGGGGCCGCCGGCGCGGATACTCCGCGACGACGTACCACACGACGGCGATGGCCATGCAGCACAGTGCGGGCGCGGCGGGAAGAAACCCTCGCAAGAAACCCAACCCTGAAACCCGTGCGCGAGGTACACCTGAGGGGAAACCCGGAGCACCCTGAACGCAGCAGCTCCTTCAACGGCTACGGGAAGTCACCGCGCAGCGCGAGAAGCGAAGAAAACCAGGATACCCTGACGAAAAGCATATGGTTTCTTGATGCGCGCCCCCACTATACCCCGTGAAGTAAGAATGCCAGCCCTCGCATGGGCATCGAAGAGGACTACTTCGACCCGGAGGTCCCACCAGAGGATGGCCATGGGGACGGCCACCAATCGGCGCCTTGGCCACGGCTGCCTTGAGGGTATCGGCCCATCGCACCTGCGTGGAGGCGTTCTTGATGTCCAGGCCGATGAGCGCGTGCAACGGGAAGGTCCACGCGGCTGCCCTCACCTCCGCGACAGTGGGGACGGCCACCATTGCAGCCTTGGCCACAGCTGCCTTGAGGGCGTCATCCAAGACGAGGAGGAGGACCTCCATCGGACTAAGGAGTACGTGCCTTAGAGCCTTAGAGTGCTGTGAGCTGTTCGACCCTATGAGGGCGAACTGCTGGATCTCCGTCCAGAAGTAATACGTAAGGTAAGGTTGAATGGGGATGCGGAGGAGAAGCACCAGCAGCAGCGGTAGCACGAGGAGTGGCTGGGGGCGGGGCAGAAGGTGGGGGTGGTGGAAATGGAATACGATGAAGAGGTCGAAAACGCTTCCGCCCTCATACTCTCTTCCGCCTCCTCAGCTTTCACGCCATGGCCCCAGAGCGAGGAAGAGCGCGAGAGGGGAGGGGAGCATAAGGAGCGGAGAATCGGGGGCAGTCGTAGGCGTTGCGACCCTCCCTCCCGCGGCCTTCGGCTAGCCTCTCACGCCGTCGGCGCTGTCGAGGGACTTCACGTCGTGCTGCTCGGCATGTTGCGGCCCCTGCCCCCGCCACCAAAAACGCCCAGATCGTCAGCTGCCCAGCGACCACGCGCTGTCGCACAACCTCGTGGCATCGTGGGCAGACCCTACAAATCGGGTCGTCTTGGTGCCCTCGCGAAAGCATATCGGGGGCGCCGTGTCTAAACGCCTCGTGTCTGGGCGTGCCGTCGCGGCCGTTCGTGCGGCGGCGCGCCCGGCCTTTTCTTCAACGACCAAGACGCAATCATCTTCATGTTGCGCATCCAGTATGGGGTTTCTGGGGCAAGCGTGGGGAAACCCTGGCGGCCATCGACCAGATTACTCGACGCGGAGATCCCCATACTGCGCCGATCCCAAACGATCGACATAAGAATACGAGGCGCCAGGGGCGGGGAACCCGGGGAACCTCCGAGCAACGGGCAACGCAAGAATACGAGGCACCAACCTTGAACCACGCACGACCCCCTCTGGCAAGCCTCTCTGGGGAAAAGCACCTCGGGGCTCTCGTGTGAGACTCTTTTGGGCCCTTGGGAGCCCTGTTGGTGCCCCCTGTTGGTGCCCCCTGTTGGTGCCCTTCTGGACCTCCCCAAGGTCGCTGTCCTCCTCCTCCTCCGCCTCCTCTGCCTCCTCCTCCTCCGCCTCCGCCCCTTGCCGCCTGCTCGCCCTCCCCCGCGCCGATCGGCCCTGTGCAGCTCGTGCCGAGCCAAGGAGGGGGGGGTCCTGGAGAGCCGGCAGTCGAGCCGAGCGCGAGGGCACAGGCTTCACTCCGTCCCCTGCTGAGAGAGAGAAACACGACGACACACCATCTTTCAAACAAACGACCAACCACTCGCAGAAAGATGTTTTTTAATTTTGTTTTCCCATCGAACCATGGCCGAAGCAAAGAGGGGGGCAATGGTCGGCACCGCAGTCGACGGTGGTGTCAACGAGAAGCGGCACGCCAGTGGATATGCAGCAAGCCCCCTCTCCACACGGATTGATCTTGCGCAGCACGCAGCCTGAGGCCGCGAGCCGCGAGGCAGCCCGGCCGCCACGACGGAGGGGGAACGGACAGCGGAGGGCGCCAGGGAGCTCGCGGACGCCTCGCCGAGATCGGAGGGCGAGGGCCAGCAGGCAGCTGCCAGGAGGCCTCCGTCGGCAGGATTCGGGAGGACTGAGCCCCATTGGCGGTCTTTTGCGCTGGATTGGGCCTCGGATCTGGCGGGATTTCACCGCATTGAGCGAGATTCAGCAATATATCGAACTGGATCAAGCCAGAACGAGCCGGCTTTCGGACCAGGGCGAAGTCAGAATCTGACCTCCCAGGAGGTGCCTCCGAACGAGGGTGGGCATGGGAGAGGCGAGCGGAGACGGAAGCAGGGGGCGAGGGGCACGAGCACACTTCGACGCCAAGCACCAGCTGCCCTGCTCCGTGCACCCCATCGCAGACCTTGGCCCTTTGGCTCCACAGCCGGCGCCACTCGATGGGGAGAGGGCCCTCTCCGCACTCCTCCGAAGACGCGCGCACGCAGACTTCTTTTTTGCGCCGCTGTCCCCGCGGTGCGCAAAGGTATAGGACGAGGTGTCTATCATGGGCAGATTGTATTCGGGAGTCCTCGTGGCCAAGCGCAGTGCCTGTCACCCTTCTTTGCTGTACACACGGAGTGGAGGAGGGGAGGAGAACGGCGCGCGATCGGTGCGCCCACTGCCTGGCTGTGTCAATGGTGGCCTTGCACCTGTTGGCCTGCCAGGTGGCGCAGCCCATCTGGCATGCAGCCGCCGTTTCACACTCCCCCGCGCCCCACCTGACTTCCTCCTCGTCCTCCCAAACCCGGGCTGCGCGCCTTTCAGACAGACTGGACCGGACCCACCAGGCGACCCAGTGGGTTCGGACTCATCTGTAAGCGTGTAGATCTCCAGAGGGCTCTCGGGCCGGACGAGACGAGACTTGCCATCGCTCGGACGTCCATCCTGTGGGATTTCTGTCGGCTTCGTGCGTGCATGTTTCACGAGATGATCCCAGAGGCTCCTCGATGGTCCTCGCCCGGGGAAAGATGTACACGCCCGAGCGATGCCGAGGAGAGGGGGGATCGGGAGATGGCGAATCGGCTGCACCTTTGCGGGCAAACCTTGTATCCAGATCCACCGCATCTGGAAATTTCGGGCCACCTTCCCGAGACACCCGTAAGGCGCAGTGGATCTGGAAAACAAATAAGGCCCCCGTCGTGGCTAAATAGTTTCATCCACATCCACTGCACCTCGGCCTGTTGGCGCTTCTTTCCAAAAAACAAGACGCAGAAGATATTGGGGAAACCGCAAGGTACCGATACCGCCAATTACTGCCTGGAGCTCTCCCGGGGTGCGTTCTGACCAGAATCTCGAGGCGAATCCAGCGGTGGCGACGAAGGCCTCCCAGCAGGCCCCCCAAACAGGGAAAACGAAGCGAGGGTAGGTAGGGGTACCCATTCCTCCTCCGACATTTCGGTCTGTCGCGATCCAAGACCGTCTGCCACCGCGCCATCTGTTCTGAAAGCGCCCCAGCAGACGAACTCGGAACCGCGGCAAACTCCGCGGAAAACCTTGAGACTGAGGCGGAGATTGCCCTGGTGGCCGAGGCGCCCTCCCCAAGACTGCAGGCCGCGCGTCTGAACAAGCAGCGCGGCGACGTCTGGGGAATCTGGCGCGAATTCATGGGAGGCGATAAGTGGAAGGGCAGCGAGGGCTGCAGAAAACAAGCCCTTCAAAGCCCCCTCAACCCAGACCCAGGTCAGTCAGGCCTTGCAGAATCCTGCAAGATCCTGCGCCCAAACCCAGGTCAATGCGAAGGATCCTGCAGGATACTGCAGAATCCTGCGCCCAAGCCCGGGTCAGTGCGCCCCCTGCCCTGCAGGATCCTGCGAGATCGGGCGCTCTGGCTGATCCCCGTTTGCATTGACCCCCGTCTCTTGAGCCGCGACGCGCCCCGCCGCGGAGGAGGAGGAGGAGGAGGAGGAGGAGGAAACGGAGGGGGGAGGAGGAGGAGGAGGAGGGGGAGGAGGAGGAGGAGGAGCAGGAGGAGGAGGAGGAGGAGAAGTAGGAGGAGGAGAAGGAGGAGGAAGAAGAGGAGGACGAGGGAGGAGGAGGAGGAGGAGGCAGAGGACGAAGAGGGTGAGGAGAACGAGGAGGACGAGGAAGACGAGGAGCGAAGCATGGCTGGGCCGAGATAAATTTGGGCGAGGATGAACCGATAAACTTTGAGATCCAGCGGCTCTAAAGGCTGTGTCTCGGGCGCCGCGCGGCCTCTTCGGAACTTTCCGGACGCTCCGGACATGGAACGGACCGGAGACGTCCTCTCCTATAGCCCCTGGACTCGACCCATTCCCTGGGACCGGCTTCACATGCGCGTGGCCGACCCTACCCCTCGAGCCCCCTCTGCGCGTGGCCGACTCCTCTTGAGCAGGGACAGACCGTCCTGGCATTCCTACAAGCCTACCACGACATGTTCTGAGAACCAAGGCGCGTTCTGAAAGAACAAACACCACGTTCTTGAACCATGAAACCGATAGGCTAAAAAAACGTCCCAGCCAGAAATGTTCTGAGAACATCTCGTGCACCAAAAAGTCTCATAACATTATTTGGCGGACCAAAAGGCGAAACTCAGAGGCCTCCTAGACGGGGTCGGAGCAGGGGGGGTCGGAGGATCGCGCCGCACCGCCGATACATCGGCGATACATCGGAGATGCATCGCCGATGCCCCAGCGATGCTTCGTCGACGTCGGCGATGCACCGGCGACATCGGCGTGAAGCAAGTCGGGTTCCACATCGGGCCGCATCGCCGATGCATCGACGATGCGGCGCGATCCCCCGACCCCACCTACTCCGACCCCATCTAGTCGGCGGTGGACAATACTCCCGTTCGAAAGCCACCCCGTAATAAAAACGGCCTAGGACCGAAACCGACGGACCTGGACCCACAAAAAGGACGGCCGCGACGCCCTCTCGCGAACCGACAACGGCCCATTCGCTCATCGACGCGCCAGGGTGGTCCATCAACCTCCGGCCTCGGAGGCCTGAGAACCTGGAGGGCTAAAGACCTGGACGCGCCGCCGCTGCGCGCTCCTCCGCTCGCGGGGCCGCTTGGCGAGCCTCCCCGCGGCCTGCCGCTCGGCGGCGGCCGCCTCGGCTCCCTCCGGGCCCCCGTGGGCCGCCCGGCGGCTCACGGGCTCGACCCGCCCGCCGCCCCCCGTGGTTCCGGGGAGCCCCCCCCTCCCGGAGACGACGAAGATGACGACGACGACGACGCCGACGCCGACGCCGACGCCGACGCCGACGCCGACGCCGACGACGCCGACGCCGACGCCGACGACGACGACGAAGACGAGGACGACGATGACGACGACGACGACGACGACGACGACGACGACGACGACGACGAGGACGACGACGAGGACGAGGACGACGGACGAGAAGGAAAAGGATGGGGAGGAGGCGGACGAGCGAGGAGGGGGAGGAGGAGGAGGAGGCGGAGGAGGAGGAGGAGAAAGAGGAGGAGAAGGAGAAGCAGGAGGAGGGGGGGAGGAAAATACTGAACACTGAAACTCCGAGGGGGATGCGGCGCACGCCACTTCACGACAGCACCTCTTGGCCCTGGCGTGTGCACAACTAACTCTGCACATCATACAGCGACTTTGCCAAATCAGGTCTGACGTGCAACAGCTTTTCGTTTTTTTCTCATACGAACTCTTTCAGCGAGGGCAGCCAGCCTGGTTTAGCACGACGGTGGGCCCCCTCTGACTGGGGAGCTCTAAAAAATCGGGCGGTCTCAAGCCTAGGGCGCCTCACTGAACGGCACACGCTATACTGAACAGGGAAGGGCATCGTCTTGGCGGGCGAGCCTCGTGTGTGGGCCCACCCTTTTTCGCAAGTCTGGCAAGAATTCGAGTCCCTTCTTAGCGGGGGGCTCCACAACCTCTTAATTCGTGTCGCTTGGACTGCTGAGCCCAGGCTCCACAATTGCTACACATGTACACATGGTTTAAGCAACCAGGATTCGCTGGGGACCGACCACCCTGCTTGACAGCAGTCAAACTGTGGCCGAGCGGGTCACGAGCATACGCTGCTAGGTACGCTGGCATGCGCCCACCCAAGCCGGACGTCTGCCGCCAACGATAGCTGCGCAGGGCGACGAGGCTAGATCGACCCAGCCACGCCAGTCGATATCTGTTTAAAAGACCTCATGACTGCAGGGTTCAGGGCGAAAAAGTCGATGGTCGAGCGCGAAATCGCAGCGCGGCGCGCGACGGCGGCGGGCGCGACCAAGCACGCCTGGGCGGCGGCCGCGGAGGTGGACTCGACCACCTCGCTGGGAGCCGCGTTCCAGCCGCACCTGGTAAGGAGCGGCTCCGCAATGCCTGGCCTAGCCCCACCCGCTGATCGGAGCGCCATGGCACTGCAGACGGCCACGCCTCCCGACGTGCTCAAGCAGACGTTGAACACGCGCAGCGCCTCCCAGGCAGGTCGACGATGGCGCGCTGCGCCGCGTGCGTTGGGGACGCAGATGAGCTGCGACCTGGCTGCCATCGGAACCGAATTGCACTGCGCGCAAACACTGCGACCCCATCAGGGGGGGAGTTGGCCACCTGCGGGGCCACCAGGAACTGAATGCACTTACCATTCGCGAGCGCCTGCCCACGACTGTAGCTCCTCTACATCATGTTCATGATGCCCAATCTCTTGCGCCAGTGCCGCCAACGCCCGCGCCCTCTCGAGCAACCGCTTCCAGGTTGCCCCCCCTTGGTCGGCGCTGAATGCCTCGAGCAAGTGCAGTGATCGAGCTGGCGCGCCAACGGGCGATGCAGCAGCTCTATCGCAGCCCGCTCGCGCGGGGCCAATGGCGTTCGACGCCGCGCGCCTGGCTGCGCGGGGGGGGGGGGGGGCGGCCCTGCCGCGCTGCGCCCCGTGCTGCTCCGCGACCATCTCGTGCAGCCGAGCAACCGCGCGCCCCTGGCGTCGGGATCCATCCTCTTGAACTCCTCGCGCACCTTGCGAACGCCATCCACGCGCAGCGGGGCAGCCGAGTCACGCTTGGCCGCGTCGTTCGTCTCCTCAACCGCAGCGTCCGCTTCACCTGAGCTAGCCGGCTTGGCGATGGCCTGCCCTTGCGGGGCGGTCGCGGAGATGACGTGCTTGACCAGCATCTGCTGGAGGGCGCCGAACCTAGAGTCGGACGTGATACGCTGGAAATTGACTTTGGGCCCGGACGCCTCCTCGAGCTCGGGCATGCTGACCTGCAGGAAGATGGGCGAGACCAGAGGCGCCGCCGCCACCTCCGCAGCCACAACGTATGCCTCGGCACGCTGCTTCTGCAACTCCTCCTAACAGGTCCGCACCTCCGTGGTCAGCAAGACGATCTCGGCTTCCTTGTGGACGATGGCAGCCTCCTTGGTGTCGTGCTCATCCTGCAGCTTCTTGATGCTCTCACGATTGTCGGCGGCGTCCTCACGATAGCGGTCGAACTGGGTCCGGTAGCGCTCAAGCTTCTAGGTCGTGATCTTGTGCGCCGTAGCGGGTGGCCATAGATAACAAAGTTGGGTTCGAACAGACTCCATCGCTGCTTGGCCTTCGCGAGCTGGTCGCTCTCCATCTTCTCGTAAAGGCCGAGGCCCTTGACGAACTGCTCGTAGTGGGCGATCCTCGTCTGCAGAGCAGCACGTTTGGCCCCCACGTCGACGTTGCCATTCTGCTCGCCGTGCTCTTCGGTGTCCACTTCCATCCCAGCGTCAGCTGCAGCTGGTGGCGCGTCGGGGGCCGAGCCATTGTCCTTCCTCTTTTTGAGCTGCTGCACCTGCTTGCGCAGCGCGGCCAGTTCCTTAACCCAGGGCGCCAAATGTGACGAGTTTAGCTTGCCAGCACGTGGAAGGGTACCCTTCCCCCTTCCCCTTCTCCCTTTGAGCTGGTGCTGCTGCGGCCGTATTGTCGTTCTGGCGCGCCTTCGACATAATATGCTGCACCAGCACCGCACCAACACTGTATCCTGCACGCCCAGATGTTGGCCGCTCCGCAGCGGCTGCATCCCCAGTGAGGACGCTTCGGCCCTCGCAGCACCGTACCTGCGCCGTCCGTCGCCGTCGCTCCGACTCTGGGCCCCAACACCAGACTCTCACGGCGACCGTCGCGCAGCCCCGAGGCACTGCGGGGGCGGAGGGAAACTCTGCACTCCAGGGAGGTGAGAGTTCATGGAGCTGCGTAAGACTGAAAGCTGTCCTCGGGCCAGAGGTCCCCACTCTGGTTCCGAAGAACATTGGGTCTTGAGACAAACTGGATACGGAGGAACGGAGGAGGACGACGACGACGAGGACGAGGACGAAAACGAGGGTGAGCGAGGAGGACGAGGACGACGAGGAGGAGGACGAGGAGGAGGAGGACGAGGAGCAGAAGGAGGAGGAGGAGGAGGAGGACGACGACGACGACGCTGGGGGGCCCTGCGAGAGCGTTTTGTTTGTATGTTTCACGACGGCGGCCGTTGCCGGCCCCAGCGTTCCAACCCCCCCCCCCGGAGAAGTAAAGTCACGCCTCGAGCGGGCCTCCGAGGTGCCTCTCGTCATCCCCAGACCTTCCCAGACGGAGCTGGCGCGAAACGTCCGGGCGGGTGGTAATGGGGGGTGGCCTACCCCTGAGATCCTGGCGTTGCCACTTTTTCGCCACGGGCGTTGTCGCCCGGCTCCGGGCCCCGGGACCCTCACAGATCGATCTGGCTCGAAGAGTGATGCAGAAAGATGGGGTCCAGGGGTTTGATCGTGATATTTGTAGAGATGGTGTAACTTTTTCGCAGCGTCGGATCTCGGGGCAAATGGGGGGGTGAAGAAAAGGGCCCTTTTCTTCACCCCTATGTGGGTCACCCCCCAGTCCCACCCGCCCGACACGTGACGGGATCAGCCCCGCCCTCCCACCTAGGGGAACGAAAACTGACATAAACATCAAAACTCTGATGACCGCGCGGATTTCTCGGATACGCGCTGGACGTCCCTGGCGGCGCCTCCGGCGCCGCCCCTGGCGCGCTCCGCGCGCCAGGGAGGGGGGCCCAGCGCAGATCCGAGAAATCCGCGCGGACCTCCGAGCTGTTATGTTTATGTCATTGTGTGTTCCCCCACCCCCCTCCTCACCAGTAACGCCGGCTCTACACCCTTGTGTGAAAAAAAGCTCTCCTGGCTGCTGCCCGCGCGTCCCAAGACGGGTCTGAGACCAACCGGGTCGCCGCTGGTGGGCCCGGTGAGGACCCTGAGATCCGACGCTGCGAAAAAATATTGCAACCTCGATGAAACATCACGACCAGATCCCTGGACCACATCTTTCTGCATCACTTTTCGAGGCGGATCGATCTGTGAGGGTCCCGTGGCACGAAGCCGGGCGACAGTGCCCGCTGCGGAAAAAAATTCAACGCCAGGATCTCCGGGGATGGCGGGGCGCGGCTACGTCGCGACCTCGTCCCCCTCGCCCGCCTCCTCGCCGTCGGCGCGCACGCGCTTCAGTTCGAAGCGCTTGCCGGCCCGCAGCATCCCGATCGCCTGCCCCAGGAGGCGCCGCAGATTCACGGCGCCCGCCAGGCACTTGGCCTCCTCCAGCTTGCCGTCGGCACACTCGATGGCCTCCTCTTGGCGACGAGCCCACCCTGACCTTCCAGAGCGCTAAGAAAGAACCCTCCGGGCCTGTAGACCTGGGGCCGGCACGGAAACGGAAAGAGCGCTTCAGCAACATGACCGAAATTACTCACACCAAGGTTCGTACTGGGAGCCTTGGCGTTGAGAGCTTGTTACGTCACCCCTCGCTCTCGGGAGCCTTGGTGTTCAGAGACTGTTGCTTTGCCGCCCGTTCCTAAGCCTTGGCTGGGCCTCGGTGTCAGGAACTTGTTACGTCACCGCTCTCTGCTGGGAGCCTTGGTCTTATCAGTTTGTTTACGTCAACGTTCGCTCTTGGGAGCCTCGGTGTGAAGAGCTTTTTGCGTTACCGATCGCTCTGTATTTGGCGTCTCTGGGCCTTTTTGGGAGTCCTATTGCGTCCCTGTTGGATCCCTTTGGGGGGCCTCTTGGGGGCCTCTGGGGGCTTCTTGGGGACCTCTTGGGAGCCTCCTGAGAGCTTCTTGGGGCGAAAGGCAAGACTTTTCGGTTCGCGCTCCCCCTCTTGGGGCCGTCGTGGGGTTCTCTTGGGCCGTCTTGGGCGCCTCTTGGGCCGTCTTGGGGCCCTCTTGGGCCGTTTTGGGGGCCTCTTGGGAGCCACTTGGGCCGTCTTGGGGCGGTGTTGGGGGCCTCTTTGGACCGTCGGCATCGCCGTGAAAGCCGAAAAGCCGTGCATGCTAAAAATGTACGTTGTCCTATAGGAATGAATGATTTTGGCCTCCTGGTGGCCTCTTGGGACGCCTCTTGGGCGCCTCTTGGGGCCTCTGGGGGCTTCTTGGGGGGCTCTTGGGAGCCTCCTGGGAGCTTCTTGGGGCGAAAGGCAAGACTTTTCGGTTCGTGCTCCCCCTCTTGGGGCCGTCGTGGGGTTCTCTTGGGCCGTCTTGGGCGCCTCTTGGGCCGTCTTGGGGCCCTCTTGGGCCGTTTTGGGGGCCTCTTGGGAACCTCTTGGACCGTCTTGGGGCGGTGTTGGGGGCCTCTTGGGCCGTCGTCAACGCTGTGAAAACCGAAAAGCCGTACATGCTAAAAATGCACGTTTTCCTACGGAAAAAAACAATGGTGTTGGCCTCTTGGGGCCTTCTTGGGACGCCTCTTGGGGCGTCTTGGATGCCTCTTGGGACGTATTGGGGCTGTCTTGGGCGGTCTTGGGCTCTTCTGGGACGGAAGAGGGGAGAACCCGAAAAACATACAAAAACCCTAGATAAAAACCCGAAAACGGCCATTACCAACCCTGCGTCTCCGCCTCGCCCCCCCTCTGCACTCCCCCCTTCAGGGCTTCGCCCCACACTAGAACGTCATCACTCGTGCCTCGCTCTTTCCGTTACCTGGGCCGGCACGGGAACGCAAAGAGCGCTGCAGCAACCTTCCCGAGAGGGCTCATGGCACCCTTCGCTCTTGGGAGCCTTGGTGGTAAGAGTTTGTGACGTTATTGCTCGCTCTTGGGAACCTTGTTGTTCCGAGACTTTTATGTTGCCGCTCGCTCTTTGGAACCTTGGTGTTAAGACTTGTGTACGTCACCGTCCGCTCTTGGGAGCCTTGGTGTGCACGAGTTTGTCACGTCACCGTTCGCTCTTGAGAGCCTTGGTGGGAAGAGCTTGTTACGTCACCACTCTCTGCTGGGAGCCCTGGTGTTCAGAGATGTTTACGTTGCCGCTCGCTCTTGGGAGCCTCGGTGTGACGAGCATTTTGCGTCACCTTCGCGCTTGGGAGCCTGGGTGTGAAGAGCTTCTAACGACTCCTCCTCCTCCTCCTCCTCCTCTGCCTCCTCCTCCTCCTGACTCCTCCTCTTCTTCCTCCTCCTCCTCCTCCTTCCGCCTCCCTCCTCCCTCCTCCCTCCTCCTCCTCCTCCTCCTCCTCCTCCTCCTCCTTCTCCTCCTCCTCCTCCTCCTCTCCTCCTCCTCCTCTTCCTCCTCCCCTCCTCCTCCTCTTTCTCCTCCTTCTCCTCCTCCTCGTCATCGTCCTTGTCCTCCACCTCCATTTTCTCCTCCTCCTCCTCCTCCTCCTCCTCCTCCTCCCTCCTCCTCCTCCTCCTCCTCCTCCTCCACCTCCTCTCTCTCATTATCCTCCTCTTCCCCCTCCTCCTCCTCCTCCTCCTCCTCCTCTTCCTCCTCCTTCGACCTCCCTTCACCCCCTCCCCTCCTCTCCTCCTCCCTCGTGCTCCTCCTCCTCCTCCTCCTCCTCCTCCTCCTCCTCCTCCTACTCCTCCTCTCCCTCACCTCCTCCTCCTCCTCCTCCTCCTCCTCCTCCTCCTCCTCCTCCTCCTCCTCCTCCTCCTCCTCCTCTTACTCCTCCTCCTCCTCCTCCTCCCCCTCCTCCTCTTCGGGCCCACTTGGGAGCCTAGTGGGGCTCTCTTGGGCTCTTTTAGGGCCCTGGGGGCCCTCTTGGCCGTATCGGGGCCCCATCTTATGCCGTGTTGGGCCCCTTTCGGGCGCCTCTTGGGCCGTCTTGGGACGATCTTTGGAGCCTCTTGGGCCGTCTTGGGCCCGTCTGGGGGCCCTCGTGGACCGTTTTGGGCCAATTTGGGGCGCCTCTGGGGCCATCTTGGGACGACTTTTGGGGCCTCTTGGGCCGCTGGGCCCGTCTGGGGGCCCTCTTAGACCGTTTGAGCCCCTTTGGGGCGCTCTGGGGCCGTCTTGGGACGATCTTAGTGGCCTCTTGGGCCGTCTGGGGCCCTTCTGGGGCGGAAAAGGGGAGAACTTGGAAAACCTTCAAAAACGCTGCGGGAATCAAGGTTTTTGGCATCCTGAGGCCATCTCGGGGGCCCTCTTGAGGGCCTCTGGGGCCGTCTCGAGACTCTCTTGGACCGTCCAGCGGCCACCGGGCCGCTTCACTAGAAAACATACGAAGAAACGGACCATGGGAGCGGCCCGGGAGCCGCTTCACTCGAAAAACTACAGGGGAAACGGGCCATTAGACCATTGTGCCCTGGCCTCGCCCTCCCTGGACCCCTCCCTAGAGGGCTTCGCCCCAACTCAACGTCATCACTCGTACCTCGCTCTTTCCCTCACCTGTCTCGACTGCCTGAAGCCTCGACTGGGGTTCAGATGTCGGAGAGAGCGTGATCCACCGCCGCTTTACTGTGGAAAATTGCCAACCTTTTCCTCCGGAACCCGGGGGTCCCCCCCCCCCCCCCCTCCGAAAATCCCCCCCCCCCTGCTGGAACCCCTCCCCCCCCCCCCCCCCCCCCTCCCTCCCCCGGCAAAACCCCCCCCTCCCCTAACCCTCCCCCCCCCCCCCCCCCCCTCCGCTCGAAAACCGGGGGGGGTCACTACCGGTTCGAACCCCCCCCCCCCCCCCCCCCCCCCTCCCCCCCCCCCTACTCACCGCCAGCAAACGACTCCCGGTCCCCACCACCGTCCGCATCACATCCCCCACTGGTGTTCCCAGCACCACTGTCCTCACCACCGCTGTCCCCACTGGTTCCACCACCGCCCCTACTGTCCCCACCAGTGGCCCCACCACTGTCGCACTGTCCCCGCTGTCCCCAGAACTGTTCCCACCACGGTTCCACTCTCCCCACTGTCTCCACGGCCCCAACCACTGCCCGACTATCCCCACTGTCCCACTGTCCCACTGACTCCTCCGCTGTCCCACTGAGCTGTCCCACTGTTCCCACCACTGTCCCCACTGTCCCCACCACTGTCCCCACTGCACCTCTGTCCCATTGTCCCACCGCCGTCCTCGCCACCGCCTTCACCACTGTCCCCACCACCATTGTACCCTCCACTGTCCCACTGTTTCCACCTCATCCCCATTGTCCCCACACCACTGTCCCCACCACCACCGTCACCACCACTGTCCACTGTCCCCCCCTGTTCCCACCATTGTCCCCACCACTGTCCCCACCACTACCGTCCCCACCACTGTCCCACTGTCCCACTGTCCCCACCACTGTCCCGCTATCCCCTCACCACTGTCCCCACCAACACCGTCCCCACCACTGTCCGCACCCCCACTCGGTTTTCGAGGGGGGGGGGGTTCGAACCGGTAGTGACCCCCCCCGGTTTTCCGGATCCGGAGGGGGGGGGTGGGGTTCGAACCGGTAGTGACCCCCCCCCCCCTTTTCATGATGAGACGGGGGGGGGGGGGGGAGGGGTTCGAACCGGTAGTGACCCCCCCCGGTTTTCCGGAGGGGGGGGGGAGGGGTTCGAACCGGTAGTGACCCCCCCCGGTTTTCCGCCAGCAGCGGTAGAACACGCTCTTTCAGATGTCGAGGTCCTGGTGCTGCGCGTCAGCCTTCCTGGAAGGTCAGGGCACGGGGGGCAGTGAGAGGGGGCAGGCCTTCTCAGCAGGCGGCGGGGCTTCACGGGCGCCCTCGCGCCTCCTGAGAGGCCGCCTGTGGCTGTTGCCATCGCTCGGACGTCCATCCCCCGTGCATGTCTCGGGTCGCGCGTGCTTTCTTGGCACGATGGCCCAGGATGCTCCCTGTGACGACCTACCAAACCACCCCAACCCAACCCGAAGACTCGAATTTGACCCGAATGTCGGGCTGGGGGGGCACAGGTTCCATGTGTGGTTTTTCAGTGCTCCCCGAGCCCACCCCCCACTGGACATAGAGAACAACTGGAGGCCTTCGGGTTGGGCTGGGGTGGTTTGGTGGGTGGGGTTATGTTGCTCCCATTCCTTGAGAGCCACATCCCAGACATAATTTCGAGCACCCGGAAAAGTGTCCAAATAATGTCGAAAGAATGTCGGACGAGTCCCAGGGCTCGACACGTGAAAACCCTCGAGTTCCGGCAAATTTTGGGCGCTCGAAATTCTCTCTGGTGAGCAAGGCTAACATAGGCTGGAACCTCAGAAGGGTGGTGACCTCGGTGGCCCCCGCCGAGGACGAAACTCGCACACGCATGGGCGATGCCGAAGGCCTCTGAGGTGGCCCCCGCGAGGCTTCGCCCGGGCGGCGCGCGGGCTCCCGAGAGGCCCAGGGAAGGCCGGCCACCCCCCCGCTCGCTCTTCCCCTCTGGGGCCCGCGGCCGCTCCTCGTGGGCCACGAGGCAGAGGTACTCGCACATCGCCAGCCGGGCCCACTCCTACAGGGGGGGGCCCAGGGACACACGACCCACCTCCCTCCATTCCCCCCCCCCTCCCCCCCTCTAAAAACCTCTGCCTCCACCTCCTTCCCATCCATCCTCCTCGCCCTCCTCCTCCTCGTGCGGCTCCTCCCCCCAGCTCGTCCTAGAGCGACCAAGAGCGCCCAAGAGCACTCCGAGAGCGACCCAAGAGCGGCCCACGAAGCGATGTTTGAGACTCCCGAAGGTCGTAATTGGAGCTTCCAGAGTTTTTGATCGATCTCCTCCAAGATGGCCCCAAGAGCGCTCCCAAGGCTCCCAAGAGCGCCCCAAGAGGGCCCCAAGAGGCGCCCAGGAGGCTCCAAAGAGACCCCCAAGAGGCCCCAAGAGGTTCCCCGAGGCACCCAAGACGCTCCAAGAGGCCCCCGGGACCGCCAAGAGGCCCCCAAGACGCTCCAAGAAGCCTCCACTGGGGGACCCTTCCTCTGTGTGTTGCCCACTTCCCTGATCGAGGCAACTCCTCTGGGCATCGTCTCTGGATGGGTTGGTGGGGCCACTTTTTGGTACGCGGGCGCGCGAAGCGAAGTCGAACGCCGAGCACGCTAGGGCGGGCCGCGCCGTGGCGAAGGAACAACAGAAACAGCGAGGCTGGTGGGGTTACTTTTTTAAAAACTTACAGCCGCAGGCGAAAGCGCCAGCGGCGGCGGGTCACGGTCGGGCTGCGGCCGTGACGAATTAGCCGGGCGCGCGCGGGGACCGCGGATCAGGCGGCGGTGCAAACTGCAGCCCAGGGAGTCTGAAGAGAAACAGCCACCCAGGAAGCAGGGAGGACGCTGCCAAAATGGCGCGACGCACATCCCCAGTCATGGATCGTGTCGTTCCGACAATCACAAGGTAGTGGGGATCAGTCTCCGTGCATGAGGGGTGTCAGCGAGCCCAGGGTGTCTGTCGGGTATGAGCGAGACCGTTGGCAAAGGAGCTGACGTCGTCCAGGAGGGAGAAGGGTCTCTGACAGCGCCAGCGAACCGTCGCAGCTTCAGAGAACGCATCCAGCGGCTGACAGGGTACGCCTGAAGTCATTGACAACCGATATCAACCTCAGAACAACTGCGGAGGGATGCGTGTGCACGCGAGAGATCAACGACATGATGTGACGCAGTGCAGGGGTACACCTGCTCCCGACCCTGGCGAGAGACACGTCGGCCAATCGAGGGTGACGGGGCGTGTACCAGGAAGCAACTAAGTGACATAACAAAGAGCGGCTCTGCTGGTGGGGTTATGCGACGCGTGTAGAATCTTCCCACCTGTTCTGGGGGGGTCGACGGTTCTCTGTGTCTGGGTGCGTTTCCCCTCCTGGTCTCAGGTCGGGCATGTCCCCCTACAGGCGGATGTTGGGCGTTATTTTATGGCTCAAGAAAAAAGGTAAAAAATCAAACAAGACTCAAACATAGGCAAAACATCTCATAACAGATCGTCCCCTGACTACTTGTTTCCCTATGACTGGAGATTATCCCCCTGTGGCGGGACCCGCCCGGCTTCATCCCGGCCCGGTCCTGGCCCGCGAGCTCGCGCTCCGGGTCCGACAGCTCGGCCCACCACGCGCCGCTGGCCGCGTCGCGCGCCCTCGCGCGCGCGAGCGCCCGCAGGCAGGGCCGCAGCCGCTCGCTCTGCTCGTAGGGCCAGCGACAGCGGGCACTCACAAGCCGCAGGAACTCGACGGCGTCCCGGCCGTGGGAGGCGGCGGAGTTGAGGGCCTGGCATGGGACTCCCCTTCGATATTTTAGGGCTCTGGGGTGCCAAACCATAGTCTGCGTGCGTGAGGCGGGCGTGTGAGGGTCGGTGGGCGTGCGCAACAAGTGCACGTTGGCGTCCTGCAAGGTGATGCTTGTGGGCACGCCTAAACGAGTAAGGAGTGGTCGTTTGGGTCATGTTTTCTCACACAAACAGATGAGCTCCACACTGCGCACTTAGCTGCCATGCGATTCAAGTAATCGCCAGGCAAATTGGGTGCAACCCAAGAGCCGACCTGCGATAGGCAAACTCATGAGGTGAACCATGGTTTGAGAGAGATCGAGCGCGTGAGAGGTTATGGAATGGTCTTTTCAACAATAATCAAAAGGGAACCAGGGCCTTGCACAGGCCGTCCTCCAGGTGGGCGGTGTCGAGCACGATCGGCTCCAGCAAGCCGCCGGGAAGGAAGACCTCGCAAACCGGCCGCACCGCCTCCTGCCGCACGACGAACGACCAAGCGGGTTCCATGTCCGGCGGGTGGGTGAAGCCGTAGGTGCGATACAGCAGCACGTTGGATCTCGGGCCGTACGAGCAGCGGAGTTCCTCGCCCGGCTGGTGCGCGCGGTCCGCGGTGACCACCATAGCCTGCCCCTCGGGGTCCCACCTCCACGATACTCCGGGAGACGTGGAGTGGTGGTTGAGGAGGTCGACCACGGGCACCATGGTCGAGCTGTCGCAGGTCTGGAAGACCCTCGTGAGGAGGCTGAAGCGCGCCCTCGCGTACATGCCGAAGTCCGGGCAGCGTCCAGCCCCCGTACCCTCGGACCAGGCGGCCTGAATGATGTGGTGCACGTTCGCGAGGTCGCGCGCCATCTCCACGAAGTGCTCTGCCTCCAACGAGGGCTCGAAAGTGGCCCGCGTGCCGGCGGGGTCTGCGGCCGCGAGGCGGTATGGGTGCGCGTCGAAGTGCTCGCCGAGGAGGCTGTCGGCGAAGCACCGCCAGACTCTCGACACATCGGCATCCGCTCCGCCGAGCCCCTCGTGGGCTCCGCCTGCAGGGGCAAAAACAGTGTCGATGACACGACGGCGTCGTGATTCCCACGGTGTCGTTGGGACGCCGTGGGGACCACATCAGCGACACTGTGGAAGGGCACCAGGTTTCCAGGGGAGTCATACGCTGACGGGCTCCCGACGGCAGCGTGTCATGAACCCTGGGGTGAATTCTGTCCAGGATTTTCGAGGCGAACCCAGCCGTGACGACGAGGGAAGCCCAATTATGGCGATATCGGTACCATCTCCGTCCTCTGGGATCCCGAACGATCGGGCACGGACCTGGCCTGGGTAGGACCCTGCTTGGTGCCCCCAAGTGTGACTCGGTTAAACTTGGCGGCGCGCACAAAGTAGGGGGGGAGGGGTCAGGGCTTCTTAGAAGGAGGCTGCTTCTTAGAAGGCGTGGTCCTTACACACATAGATAAGGTCCGAGCCTTCTGAGAAGCAGGGGGTGCTTCTAAGAAGCCCTCCCCCCATCCCCCTCTGCGCGTGGCTGGATTAAACCCCCTCTTGATCTGGGATCACTCTTGTGCCAGGAGCATACCGGACAGCATCCAACGATCCAGGAAACCTCAAGCAAAGAACAACCCGGGGCTCATGTTGCTCCCATCGTACTTTAAGGACCACATCCCAGACATGATTTCGAGCACCCAGAAAAGTATCGAACAATTGTCGAACGACCATCGCTTCCCAGGGCCCGACACGTGAAAACCAGCCAGCTTCGGTACTCTCTTGGTGCTCGAAAGTCTCTCTGGCGATCCAGGCCGAAGTAGGCTGGAGCACCATCACCCGGGGCACGCACCCCTGGAGCGAACGCGGGAGGCCCGGGTCAAGAGTTGCATCCCTGGCCAGCCCGGGGCCCTGATACCTCGGAGCTCTGAGGTACACTTCCTCCCATCCGGCCGCCGCCTCCGGCGGCATCGCCTTGGGTGGCAAATCACGTGAGCCTCCCATACCATCTTGTCGACTCTTGCGAATCGACGCTCGTCGACGCTAAGTCGACGTTCATCGACGCTAAATCGACGCTGATCGACGCTAATCGACGCTACATCGGCGCTATCTCATCGACTCCCAGATGCTAATCGACGCTAGTCGACGCTAAAAACAGAATTTTACGAGGGTACACGAGGCTCCCATGATTTGCTACCGAACTCGCCGCTGGTCGCCGCGGCGGCCCTGCCCTCCGCCTCGCTCAGCAGCCGTGCCACGAACAAGGTCTGGCACGCCTCGCTGCGGCGCCCGCGCGGCAGGTCATCCGGCAGCTCGGCGACCGCCCGCCACAGGTCGGGGTCCTTCGCAGGAGGAGGAAGGGGAGGAAGAGGAGGAGGAAAAGGAGGAGGAAAAGAAGGAGGAAAAGGAGGAGGAGGAGGAGGAAGAGGAGGAGGAGGAGCAGGAGGAGGAGCAGGAGGAGGAGGACGGAAGAGCAGGGGGGGAGGGGAGCAAAGAGGTGCAGATGCCGCCACTGCGGCGAGCGAGCCTCGGAGTCGGCAGCCCAGCATGAGCGCAACCGCGGAGCGGCCCCGCTGACACCCTCGCCAGTCGTGCGGCCCCGCTGGCGCCCCTGAGGAGAGCGATCTCCGCACGGAGCCAGCGGCAGCGCAGGGACGGCTCGACACCTCGACTGGGAGGTAATTGCGCCCGGCGCCTGCGCCGATGTCCCCTTCTCAATGATACACACACAAACACGAACTCTACCGCACACCCCCGAAGCTCCGTTCCCGAAGCCGTAGCTAATTTAGACAGGTGGCTCTACGGACCCAGGAACGGTTCGCACCAACGCATTGCGAAAACGGCGCCAGTGCAAAATACAACGGTTGGCCCCTTCAGGTCCCGCTCCAACGCGGTACGGTGCATGGTTTTTTGGCTGTGACGGCCGAGTAATTTGTAACGTGCCCCTTATGGGTGGAAAAACGACGACTCCAAAAACGTCGACGCGGTACGGTACACAAGAATCGTAAACAGAGACATGCTCGTGTCGCGAAAAGAACACGACGAAACACTTGTTGCGGTTATTCGCCTCTGGGAGCCTTCGCTGACCCAAACTACTCGGGATGAAAAGCAGGCACTGGGGAAACAATCTGGGCTTTGGAAAACCTTGTTTTGAAATAGTCAAGGCGTCGCATGTCGCATCGACAAATCGGACCGACTCGGAACATTCATCGGATCGGGCCGCATCGGTACGGATTCGAGACCGAATCGGGTCGGCCGTGCCACGATCCAGCATCCACAACAGCGCCGTGCAAACACCAAGCCGAGTCGGATCGTCGGAACATCGGAATCAAGCACCCCCGATCGAGTCAGCCGGAATGGAAATCGAATCGAAATCGAAACGCATCCACATGGACCCTGCTGGGCGCGCTCTGACTACGATTCCGCGACGAGCCTGACCATGGCGGTGCGGGCCTTCCACGAAAGGGCAGTGGCCTCGGTATATTTCCCCAGACATGCGACGCCCTCTTTCTGTTCAATACGGGGCCCCCAGAAGTCCTGACACTTCCCCCTGGCTCATGGCCGGCTCTTCATCCTGAGTCGCTGTCAAAGCCCAACGCGGCCAACTACTCCGACACAAGGACCCCGCGTGAGAAACTGCCAAACCAATACGAAGGCAATCCTCATCGTCGCCCGCGTGAATGCTGAGGCTCTCTTCCTGGTCTATCATCGCATATTTGTTTCGCCCGAACGGAAGCCCTCCTCTCGCCACCTGTTCTGCCTCCTCGCCCTCTTGGCCCCACTCCCCCATCCACCTCCTCCCCCGCAGGGACGCACAAGTCGATTTTCCTCGGCGCCGTCGCCTCCACTGCCAGCGCGCGCTCGAGTTCTCCGATGATTGGACCGTGAAGCCGTCGGGGCAAACGCGCGGGCTAGGCCGCCGGGGCAAGCCCGCGAGACGCTGGGGCACAGGGGCAAACCTGGAGGTCTCGAGCTCGTCGCGGCCGCTCACGAGCGGGAGGCAGCGCGAATCCGAGCTCTGCCGCGAGCTGCTCCGCCTCAGCCCTAGAACTCTCTGGTTCCTCGTCGAGCTCCCCGAGCGCCTTCCGCAGGGGCGCCGGCGGCCCGCGCTCCAGCAACTCTCGCGCGGGCGGCTGGAAGGTCAACATGCTCCGCACGCGCGTGGCGCGGGAGAACGTGACGTAGAGGTGCACCCGCCGCCGTTCTCCAGGCACGCCCGTGCGACCGTGCCCCCTTTTCCGGCGCAGTCGACGGTGACGCCCTTGAGCAGCGTTTGACCCTGCGACAGCACGGAGGTCGGATAGGACGCGCGCGTCAGAGCAAATCCCGAGCGGCGCACTTCGTGCGGTCCCGAGCTCTGCCAGGTCTGGACGGGAGCAGGCTCCTCGCCAGCGCCTCGGCCTCGCCGTTATCGTCAGCGCCATCGGCGCCCTGTTGCTGTAGCAGCAGCTGGGCGACCTCTTAGTAGGTCGGGGGATCCTTGAAGCCGTGCATGTGCATCCAGATTCCTTGCGGCAGGAAGCGGGGGCGAAAGAGCTCGCCTGGCGCGCGTTCCTCTCGTCGTCTGGCTGAGACTCGAAGGACACCATGGTGGCCCTTTGCTCCTGCACGAGCCCCAACTTATTGTTCAATTCCTCTTGCATGGCCGTGAACCGAAACGCCATGCTGACGCGTGCCGGCAAAACGCCGTGGATGCCCCCCGTTTGGTGCATGCTCAGGACGTTCAGGAGGCGCTGGCCCGCGTCGGGGTCGCCGTGGATCGCGCGCCCGCGTCGGACGCGGATGGGTTACCGCCCGCGGCCCGGACTCAAGGGTTCCCCTTGTGCCAGGCCGCCGTCGTCCTCCTGAACTCCTCTTCCTCCTATTCCTCCTCCTCGGGAGAATCGAACGAGTGGCCCTCTAGAGAGCCAAACGGTGACCCCGCTCGGGTTGGCCCACGCAGGTTTCCATATCCCTTCGTTCTGGGAGCCTCGGCAACGACAGGAACATTGCTCAGAGGAGCCCGCGTCTGGGAGCCTTCGTATCAACCCTCATTCCTAAGAAACCCCAAAATGAAGACAGCTACAAAATCCCGAGGACCCGGTCGGATTGGAAACATGAGCTGCAGGCCCCATACGGAGGGGGGTCCTCCCTGAGACTTGCTCGCAAATCTCTCACAGACGAGGCTCCCTCTCGAGCCTTCCGCCGCATTCAAGCCTGAGGAGCCTACAAATTATGACGGTTACAGGTTTTCCGATGACCCGCTCGGATTGCCAAAACGACGTGCGAGCCCCATAGGGAGGGGGCTCCCTCTTGAGACTTCTCCGCAATTCACTCGCAGATGAGGCCCCCGCTTGAGACATCCTCACGAGTTGCGTCTTTGGGGCACTCAAATGCTACTCCTGGTAAAACACTTTCCTATGGCCCGCCTGGATTACCATCATAGAGTGTGGGCCCCATGCAGAGAGAGGGGGCTCCCGCCTGACTTCCTCACAATTCACTCACAGACAAGGCCCCCGCTTGAGACATCCTCACAATTTGCCCCCTCGGGGTGCTCAAGTGCTATGCCTGGTCGAATTTACCGATGACCCGCTAAGATTACCAACATGAAATGCGGGCCACATAGGGAGGGGGCTCCCGCCTGAGACTTCCTAGAAAGATTTGCCCCCTTGGGGTGCTCAAGTGCGATGCCTAGTAGAGTTGTCCAGTAAGCCGCTCGGATTACCAACATGAAGTGCGGGCCCCATAGGGAGAGAGCTTCCGCCTGCGACTGCCTCACAATTCACTCACAGACGAGGCAAGCGTGCGTGATTGATGGTGGTTATGCTGATGAGTGTGATGGGGATCATGGTGATGGTGATGCTGATGCTGGTACTGTTGCTGATGATGATGACGAAGCTGATGATGACGATGATGATGGTGATGATGATGGTAGTGGTGATGATGATGGCGATGGTGATGATGGTGCTGTTGCTGTTGATGATGATGATGATGACGATGATGATGATGATGATGCTGATGATGATGATGATGATGATGATGGCAGCTGATCATGATGTGACGGTGGTGGTGATCATGATGACGATGATGGTGTGATGATGGTAGTGATGATGATGATGACGATAATGGTGATGATGATGACGATGGTGATGATGATACTGATGATGATGCTGATGATGCTGATGATGCTGATGATGATGATGATGATGATGTGGATCGTGGTGAGTGTGAGAGGTGATAATGAAAGGTCGTGGTGGAGTGTGAAAGGAGAAGAGATCGGGAGGGTGGGAGGAGGAGAAATGCGTGGAGGGTCCAGGGGAAACAATAGACTCACTTAGGGTGCGGGGAAAAACATCAGCCGTCCTGTTTTTTTGGCACGACGCGAGAGGACGTCTGCTAGGGCAGCTATCGTCACGATTCGCGCTCCACGAAGCGCGATTGTCTTCGCTCGCCCCAACCCCACCCACCCTGGAACAGAAGGAGATCCTCGCGCCTCGCTCTGAAATCGCCTAGACCGCGGAGCGCGACCGACTTCGCACCCTCATGGTGGCCCTGAGTCGGGGTGTTCCTCCCCCCGTCCTGCTCCCGCACCCTCCTCGGCGTGATGTGGAACCTCGCGGGGACCCTCAGCAGCTCCTCGCCCTCGTCGATGGCCTCCGCGGCCAGCAGGCCGGGGATGTCCAGGGGCGGCGCGCACCCTTTTTGGGGGGAGCTTTTTTACCAGAGTGCCACTGCCGCTGCTCCCTCTGGTGGCGCGCACAAGGTTACGAGGCAACTACTGGAAGGTCGTCGTCGGAAGGATTAAGGAAGCCTACTTAAGCCCCATTGGGGGGGCTGTTACGCCGGGTTGGGCCTCCAATGAAACGGGAATGCGCCAGATTAGGCGGGACCGCGCTGGATTAAACGGGGTTAGCACGGATTAGGCCAAATTTCGGACCAGGGCAGGGTCAGAATTTGACCTTCCAGGAGTTGCATCCGAAACAAGGGGGTGGCGCGAGCGGGGTTAACCTTAAGTCGGGCGTGTCCCCCGACAGGCGGATTTTAGACGAAAAATCAAAAATAGTCCAAACATGCCCCCAGAATGCCAAACAAATAATAGGAAAGTCGTCCCCACCTTATGTTTTAACTATGTTTGAATATTCCTCCTGTAGAGGGACAGACCCGACTCAAGGTTAGCATTCTAAGAGGGCGGCACGCTTCTGAGAGGGCAGAAGCCTTCTTAGGAGGGCTGGGTGCTTCCCAGAAGGCTTCTCAGAGGCCGGGACGGCTCCGAAGAAGGCCCCTGCCTGCTTAGAAGCACCCCCTGACTTCTTAGAATGAGGGGGGGCCAGGGACACATAAATAGATACACACAAACAACAGGATTCTCAATCTTTTCAATAGTTTCTGAGTTTTCGTCTTCCCCCCCATTTTCCATATTTTCCAATATTTCCCGGGAGTCGACGAATAGAATAAGTGTGTCCGTGTGTTTTTTCCCCCTCCCGATAGAAGGCCGCGCCCCATCGCGCTACGTCCGCGTGCGCGCCGCCAAGCCCTGGACCCCTTCGGGGTTGGGGGGCCCTTCCGACGGGGATTTCGGTGCGAATCCGGCCGTGATGCAACGACGAGGGAGGGGCAGCGGTATCGACATCTCTCTGGTGGGGCTTCGGGTTGCGCACAGACAGCCTCCCAGGTAGCCCTGGATGGCCTCAACAGGTCCACCGAGTAGCCCAAGCTGGCCTCGAGAGGCCCCCGGGTAGCGCAGGTCGGTCTGCACACCCGAACTCTGGGGCGCTCCGCGCCCCAGGGGCGCCGCTGGAGGCGGCGCTGGGGTGTTGAGCTCCCCCGGGACTGCTCGGGAGGCCTGTTGAGGCCAGCCGGGACTGCTTTGGGGGCCTGCTGGAGTGGCTGCCTGTGCGCCACCCGAAGCCTTGATACTAGCAGCAGTACTGACTGGCGGCGCGCACAAGGGGGCAGGGGGAGGGGCATGGGATTCCTAGAAGGAGGCCGCTTCTGAAAAGTCCCGGGCCCGACATCTACAGACAATGCCCGCACCTTCTCAGAAGCAGGGGTGCTTCTAAGAAGCCTTCCCCCCTCCCCCCATCTCCCTCTGCGCGTGGCTGAAACATCATGACGGGAGACTTTGCGCTATGTTCGCCCTATGGGGGCCCTCACGGAGCCTCGGGGCCGTCAAAAAATCGCTCGGGATGAAAAAAGCCAGTCCAGGGGAATGGGCTGAGACTTCTAGGTATCTCTGGGGGTCGACGTTATGAGGATACCCGCGACGCGCCCAACCCCTTCTGCACGTGAGACGACTATCAGTGTGGCCGAAACCAGACCCCCGACGTAATGACTTTTTCATAACGTCGACCCCCAGGGGTCCGACCCATTCCCCCGGACCGATTCTTCATCCCGAGTTGTTTTCTGACGGTCCCAAGACCTGGTAAGGGTCCCTAGCGGCGAAAACAAGGACAAGCCTCTCGTCATGAGTTTTGTTCATGACCCGACGGGGTCTGTGAGTATAGATTGAGCAGGGCTGGGGGGTCAGGTCTGCAGAACACCCCAAACGGGCGTCAAGGGGCACAACCAACCTGTTCGGTCAAGCTGAAATTGATGCACCACACCCGGCGTCAAGCCACAGATTTGGACATAAGCGAACGGGTGGACTTTGCAAATCTTCGTCGGCTTCACCGGCGAGGCGTTTGGCGCCATCTGGACGCTCCTGTTTTGGTGGTCCTACAGACGAAGGCGCCCTCTGAACCTCAGCCCTACTCCTAAGTCGGGCATGACCTCCTACAGGCGGGCTTTCGAAGAAAAACGCAAAGCAGTCAAAACATATTCAAACATAATCAACAAAAATATTAGACACATCGTCCCCAGACTATTGTTTTACTACTTTCGCATATTCCTCCTGTAGAGGGGCATGCAAAACCTATCCCTATGTTCCTCCTGTGGAGGGACATGCCCAATTTAACCCCACTCATCACACGGTGGGGGCATTGGACCAGGAACTCTCAGATGAGGAACCCAGGGTCTGGAAGCTGGCGGAACTCCACTCGCGCATCGGCCATGGACATCACCGCCGCCCTCCTCAACGCAGGCCTCCTCCAGAATCTGAAGCCTCCTGGGGGCGTTCCTCAACGAACGCCCCCAACCTTATGTTGTTCCCATACTACTTAAGGACCACATCCCAGGAATAATTTCGAGCACCCAGAAAAGTATCAAAAGAGTGTCAAAAGAGTGTCGAAACAGTGTCGGGCAAGTGTCTCCCAGGGCCCGACACGTGAAAACCCTTGAGTTTGGGGCACTGGGGCTCGAAATTCTTCCTGGTGGTAAAGGCTAAAGTAGGCTGGAACATCAAAACCCCAACCTGCTGACGCCCCTCCCCCCCCCCGTGGCCTCTGACCAGCTTGGGGCTCACGTGGCACCCGGCGGCCCGCGCCGCCGCGAAGAGCCGCGCGCACGCCTCGCCCGCCTCCGGGGCCGGCGCCCGCAGCGGTGGCAGCCGCCAGCGGTCCTGGAGGGGGGCACCGGCCACTGCACCGACCCTGCGAGCGCGCTGCGGCGGGTTTTTTTGCGTGGCAGTCTGCCCGGAGCAAAATTCCGAAAAACGGCGAGCGAGAAACGGCG